CTATTTAGGGCCATAAGAACCAAATGTGCAGTTTGTTAGACTATGATGGTTGAGAGACAGCTCTTGGGTACAGCAACAGTTTAAATCAAAAATTTAAAAAGCTATAAAAATTTAGAGAAAGTTATTTCTAGACTGAGCTACAGCAATAGAATATTTGGGTCAAGGGGTTCAACTGTAGCAATGCATCCAACAAGCCACACAGGTTATTTGGTATTTACTCCTGAAGAGCCACACAAACATATCTGAAGCCACTGAATTTTGCTCTTTAAATCTGGAAGCTTAAAACTCATCAGCTCCTGTGGTTTAGGGAGCCTTCATAAAGCTGGCTGAGCTATGCAGCACAGCCCTCTCCACACTGCTTGGGAGACACTGGGAATTCAGGTTAATCATTCCATTATTTCTCACCATTTACATAAGCCAGGCATACCTGGGTCGTTTAAAAGAGCACACTGGAAGAGCATGTGCAGCAAGGCAGGTGGGTATGGTGAGCAAGAGTGAGGCTTTCAAATCCTCCCCATAACTTCCTCTTGCCAGAGAGATAAAGGACAAAGATGTTAAATGTAACTGCCTCTTGCCAAAAAAAAAAAAAAAAAAAAAAAAAAGGGGCCTCCAAATCAAGCAGAGGACAGACCTGGCCAAAGCTGTGCGGAACAAGGGACCTGTGGGCCTCTGAGATAGAGCTGTTTATCTAATTTATATAAGGAGGCATGTGGGGATTTTTTAAATGCCTGGAAGGTTTTATGCCAAAACAGACAAGGCTGGGTAGTCACCTGTGTGCAACAAGGAACTGCTGGAATTGGCTTTAATCACTTACTGTAAACAGGTACTCACAGCAGCCTCAATCCCCACTCTTTGTGCTACCACCCCAGAAATTCTGAAGGGGTGCATGACTGTCACTCTGATCACACTCTGTGTAAGTAAACGGAATCCAGAAGACACGCTGCCACTTTGCATGGCAGATTGCTGTTTAGACAGGTTAGAACACAAACACTTTCAGATGATTCCAGCAACCTAGGAGCGGTCACTCAGTTGACATCTACCAACCACCAGCACCCAAGACTGAAACCTCCCTGGTATACCCAGGCCCTTCTGAAGAATGCAGAAAGAACCCCCCAAGATTTGCTCCAAAAGCCACCGAGTTTCCCCATCTGTGCTGGAAGGTATCCAGAACAAGATCCAGGCAGAGCACTGACCTGATCAAGAAGAACTCCAGCTCCACCTGGCTGCTCTGGCCCGGGACCCCAGCAGTGTGTTTATGCCACATGCAAGCAGCAGAAGGGCAGGAAATGCTGGAGCTGACACGACGCAGTCCCAGCAGAGTCAATATTGACATTCTGCTCACTCAAACCCCGCCAGGCAGGGAGGAACAGGGGGAACACATCCCAGGGCCGGCTGGGCAGATGTTTTCAGCATTTACCTTCCGAACACTCATTTTAGTATCACATCCACCCCTCTTCAGCTCCTTCACTCAATCTAAAAACTAACAGTCCACTTGGCTGTCCCACAGCCCTGAAGCTTCATGGAAGCTCTCAGAAGCACAACTCCCCTTCAAACCTTTGCATGAGCAGAGCCTAACCCTGCAGCTTTATCAGGAAAGCTGAAGGAAGTAGGTCTTTAGTTAGAATTTTTAACTAGCCATCCCACTGACTTGTGATGGAGTTCTGGCATGCCCAGGAGAGAGGATTTGGAGCTGCAGCCTGATCTGAAGCTGACAGGGAAGAGAGAATGTGTTACATTATAGGCAAGGCACTTCTGAGAGGGCAAATGGATGTATCTCTTTACAGAGAACAGAGGGAGCAGTGTCATAATCCCTTAAATCTTATTCCTGTTTTAACAGGGATCCAAGTACACACACCACAGTGACAGGTATTTTCTGTCCATCTCACCACACCCTTCCTATCTCCTCCCCTCATCCTGCCGACTCCACCCTCTCAGGAAGTGCCAATTTAACACTTGGAGTTAATCTCCAACTCCAGCTTTTCCTCTTTGTTTCACTTTCGAGAACTCGGCTGTGCGAGTCTCCCTGAAAACAGAGTCCTCAGCACTCAGTACCTGCCTGCAGGGAACACCCTCTGCATCAGTCTAGAGGGCTTGATGGACTGCAAGAAAGGCAAAAAACAATCTGTGGAAAAAGCCCCCTCCAACTCATTTCTCCCAGTGGCCTAACACTGCAGGCAGATTTCCCACTACAGAACTCAACAGCCTGCAGGGTAAATTTGAGTTTAACTCTTGAGAGCCAACAGGACCATGGGGCACCAGCAGTTTGTTGGTTTTTCTTCCACTGCCCACCTCCAGCTACTGTTTTGGCGTTTTCCAAAGCTACACGAGCAAGTTTGTGATGTAATCTTGCCAAGATGTAACTCGAGTTCCTGGCTGTACCTCCTGGGTGTCACCAACCCCCTCACCAGCCGATGACTACTTGTTTGCTCCTCAGGTGATTTTAATGGACTCGGAGTGCCTGCAACCAACCCCACTGACGTAAGAGCACAGGAGCCACGGCCACACAAGGCAGGAGCCCCAGCCGAGAGGACAAAATTGTGGGTGTCTTCCAAGAGCAGCAATGTCACACCACATGTGCGTTTCAGTACCAGAGCCACTCCAGTGGCATCAGATGTGACACTGGCTTCACTGCCCCAAACTGGGGTGCCAGCAAAGCCAGCAGCAGGGAAAGGCTCCAAAACACACCCTACAAGGCTGAAGGGTTGCAAGAGCAGCTGCTGATTTTTTTGAACTGCTTTCTAAATTAAGCTTAAATCCTTTCTCTATCTCACACAAGAAAGTCTCGAAAATAAAGTTTATTATTATTCCCGGCAGCCTGGTGGGCAGGACACAGCTCGCCGAGCTTCCAGAAGAGAGACAAGCCCTGGGCTTGTCAGACAGCCCGACTCCCGAGCAGGCCAACTAAAGAAAAAGGCCAAACTCGCACAACGACCCTCCCAAAACCCCCTCCTGTCGTCCCCAGGCTTTCCAAGCAAGTGCCATTTCAGCTGCAAACAGCCCCGAGAGCGTCCTATTATCGAGTCACAGCGTTGCAAAATCTACATAGGCAAGAAGTGTTTTGCAAGAGCCATGTGACACACACATGACTTGCAGCTCAGGCGAAGGGTGGACCCCTGGCTACGGAGCCGCCGCCAGCCGGGGGGATCGGCTCCCTCGGGGCGCCGGGGTCCCCCCCTCACTTGTTGGAGCCAAGGCCCCGATCGGCATTCCCGAGGCTCGGGAAAATCGCCGCGGCTGCGCCCCGCGGCGCTCCGGGCGGCGGGTGCCGGTTCCCAGCAGGGACCCCACAGAGCCCCCGGACCCACCCCGGCCGCTGCCTCCCGCCCGCACCCTCCTCCTCCTCCTCCTCCTCCTCCTCCCCCGCCCGGCCCGGGCGCGGCCCCGCGGGGACCGGGGGGCCTTCCCAGCCGCGCCCGAGCTCCATCCCGGGGACCTTCCCTGCTCCATCCCTGCCCCAATCCCTCCTCCCGTCCCCTGCTCCGTCTCTGCCCGCAGCCCCGGGTCCGTGCCGGTGCGGCCCGGCAGGGCGCTGTCTCTCCCGGTGCCCGGGGCTGTGCCCGGGGCTGTGCCCGGGAGCACGGCGTGCGGAGCGCGGCTCGCTGGGAATGCGGGCAGGCGGCGAGGGAAGGAAGGCAGAGCCGCTGCGGCGGCCGTGCAGGCCGTGCGCCTTGAGGATTCCCACCTGGAACGTGGGGAGCGCGTCGGGGCAGCACAGGGCGTCTTTGGCTCCTCTACGGCCTGTGTTCTTCACCTGAATTTATAAGTCACTGTCCCTTTTTGCGTCTTTTATCAAAAAATGTGGCATTGCATCTATTATCTAAACTTCTTTACAAGCATTAATCACATTTCCCTACATTCTTCAGGCACAGTAAATATTTCTGCGCTCTAGTGACTGCTGGAAGTGGGCACAGAGAGACTGCCACACACCTGGGATCTCCGAGCAAGCAACCATTAAAGCTGGAAGATTTCACAGTATGGGGGACTGGTTTGTGGTCAACCACTTTTAACAGTCTCGCTGAATATCGAATTGTATTGCTGACACTTTAGTTGTTGATGTTCTCAGGGTTGTTCCTAGCAAAGCCCTGGCCTTTTCAATAGCATCAGGGAGAGTACAAGCACTGCAACAGTACACATCATTCCACAGGGCACTGCTAAACCTTACAGCAGCTCCTTGTAATCAGCTGGGGAATTTAAATCCACCACTAATACATATTACCCGACGTTATTTCATTACAAAGGGCATAGCATAATGCACTGACCAAAGTTTAGCTTCCAACCAGCTCAAAGGACAGGAGGAACAACCTGCAAATGGACTGTGAGATCACTGAAACACCTGTGCAGGGCTGTGTGTGCAGGACTTGGGCTACAAGCCCAAGGAGGTGTTACTGCAGACATCTGGGTGCTAAATGTGCTCCATGCCCAGGGACTACTGGAATTACCCACAGGAATGGGTGTCTTTCACTTGGACAGCATCAGACTAGAGCTGAAGCTGCAGAGGAACTGAAATTGCACTCTAGTCCCTTTTTCTCCCCGCACTAAGATGAAGAAAAGCCACTCATGCTGCACACATCTTCGAGGTTTTAGTTAGGTGCAGTTCCTCACACAAGGTCGGTGAAGTGTGCTGGCTGCAATAGGAAACACCGAGCTCTGCTTGCACAGGGTTTGGGTTTCCTCAGCTCTCGCTCTGCTGCCTGGGCAATGCAATCTGCAGCTGAATCTACCACATAACTTGCTGTATGTTCTGTTGTTTCTGTGGGGATCATTGCTGAAGTTTCCACTTCCCTTTCTCCATTAGTTTGTGTGTCTGTGAAACAATGCCCGTTTTGTTTGATGTTTGCCCTCAGAAATCCAGCGAGTCCTTTGAAATGTGCTCTCCTCTCTGGTACAGTAGTTCTCTTTAGGCACTCCATGGAAGGTGACCAGATGTGCAGGAATACCCCAGGTGACAAACTTCATTTAGCAGACAGCAATTCATTCTCTGCTGAACACAAAAATTTGTTTTGCAGGGACATTTAAACATTTCTGCGTTAACTTTTCTCTACCCACGTGAAACAAAAAGCTCCAACCACCCAAATTCCTTACTCTGTTATGAAGAATAATGCTCACAAGCCACAATAAACAGGACTCTGCCACATACAGAGCTGCTAAATGTACCCAGCCAAATCAGAGAAGACACAGGGACAAACCAACATCAGCACCAGCTAACTATGAAATTCCAAATTAGATTTGCTTCCGAAGTGGGGCACAGGTTAATAAGAGTGTGGGAAGCTGTTTCATTTCAGAGAAATAACAGCTTCCATGTCCAAAAGCGTATTTGATCCCTGTGACTGTGCGGGCAGCGTGGCAGCCGTAGCAGCCCACGGCTGCAGGGTGTAGGGTGGGGGAAGGAGTGGGTCTCCTCCAGCTCATGCTTCCCATGTGGCGGGCTGAGATCACCTCGGCTGTGTTGTCCCCTGCTGCTGTGGTGTCACCTGACCCGTCTGACTGGATGAGCAGGCTCAGGACCCCTGCCTGGTTTCTGTCTGGGATCGCAGTGATGATTTATACCCTCTACCACTTTCTGTCCTGTCCCTCCTCCTGCCTTCAGGGGTTATTTGTGGTTTGTCCTGAACACCACCAACCACTGGGAGGTCAGAGGGGCCTTGCTTGTTTCCCTGCTAACAGGATCTAATGCAGGGAGCAGTATCAGATCCCAGTTCAGGGGACATTATTCATGTACCTTCAGGGCTGAATTCTGCCCGTGAAAAGAGGTTTATTTCATCCTGTTAGTAAAATCAGCTGCACAATTTCCTTTGGCTTGGACTGTAGTGCTCTACCAGAGCAGCCAAGGAAAAGCCATGAGCACAGAGTGGCTCCACCTCTAACCAACTTCCTCAGTCCTGTCCACCCTGGGGCAGCATCCTGACCCACTAACTCATCTTTGTGAGGTTGTACTCTGCTGGTTCCTGGTTCCACTCAAGTGATCTGCCCTCTCCTGCTCCCATCTCTCTCCTCCCCAGGCCACAAAAGGCCCGTGCCAGAGGAGTTCTGAGGAATGAGGGGACAAGTGGACAGAGGATGGGAGGGAGAGAGCAAGCTTTGATGGCTGCAGTCAGCTGTAAGGGGGGAAAGGAAGGAGGAAAAATAGCACAGATGATGGAGGAGAAATGCTATAGCTGCATGAACACAGGTCTTGCATTGCAGTACAGAGCCCCAGTTCCCCCCCTGCCATGGGGCTGGCAGTGGGACTGGGATGGGACTATCTGCAGAGAGCAGCAACTTGCACAGGATCCTTTCTGCCTTTCTTTTCTGCCCTTACTTTTTAGGAAATCATCCATATTTTTGAGCTATATAACCACACCACACTGTCACAGGGCAAAGGAAGGTTTCAGGTGTGCTATCTGGCACCCTACCACAATTTTACCCTGGAAATTACTTTCTTTCCCCTGCGTAACAGTTCTTGAAACAAAGGTAGGAGGAATTGGGCTCCTGACCTAGAAGTGCCTCTCCATAAAGCTGTCATGTTAGCACAGCAGTGCTCAGAAATCATTTGCCCCCTGCTAGGTCCTTTTCCCTGGACTATGTATAAAATCAGGAAAAAAAGTAATACAGGTATTTATTTGCCCTCCTGCCTTTCCCTGCCTTTCCTTTCCTTTCCCCTGCTCCTTCTCAGTGTCTGGTCCATGGAGTGGGAAGCTGTCAGGCTGACAGATGCACGGCAGCCTCAGAGAAGGTCAGGCACCAGGAGCACACAACATTGCAGCTGGCTGTGTGGGTCCTAGAGTGCTGGGGAACAAACACTGATTGCAGCTTATCAACAGCAGCGTCTCTCTGTCCTCGCTCACAGTCCTCCCATGTGCATCATTTCTCTGCAGGACTTGTCAGCTACCTGTGTTTTTTAGACAATATAACCAGGCCATTTCAGATGTGCTGGCAACACATCTAAAATGGTGTCAACAAATTCTTCCTATCAATTCTTGATTTAGGAACTCAAGGGCAAAGGAGAAGTTGCTGATGGACCTGTGGTACCCTTGGAGGGAAAGTACAACGTGCCCATATTCAGATGTCTGGAAAATAATAATGGACAGCACAATGGTATTCTGGAAGTGTTTAACAGAGCTGGTCCACTATCACACATTGCTTTAGTGGTCTGTGAATCACCAGGAACCAGCTCATGTCCAGCTCTACCTCTCACTTTGGCTGGACACCTGGCCTGTGCTTTCGGCTCCTACAGTGAGGGGAATGGAGCCCAAGGTTTCACGCTGGTCCCAGTCACAGGCAGGAGACAAGAGGTACCAGCAGGGTGGAGTGTCAAGAGCACTTGGATGTGAAGTGATAGCAGGATGCTCTGGGAGCAGATGTCCAACCGTGGTGAGCTACATCTCTTTTGGAAAACTCCTAGAAGGAGATCTAGCACCTTGTTCTGGTTCCTTTCTTCAAGCCTAGTTTGCTTCAGTATTGCTGTGAGCACACTTGTGTTTTTAGGGCAACTGTCAGCCAAATTTGAAGTAGAAAATTACGTTAAGCAGGACACAAAACACTGTAATAAGCAGGTTACCTATTAACTTTGATATCTTTCTGTTTTACTTCACACTGTTGCCACAGTTCAGATCTTGATTACACAATATTTTGCAAAACTGACAAAACCACATTTTATATTGTATGAGTAGTCATGGAGGAAGTAGAGGGGTCTGGGAGCTGGAGTTTCTGGGACACAAGCCTCTGGAAGCAGGGTGGTATTGCCAGCTTAGGGCAGCAACTGAACAGATTTGCTAAAATCATGCAAAAAAGGTTGGAAGAGACTCCAGGAGATGACCTACTCAAGTTCCTCTGCTTCAGCTGCATCTATTTGAATCTCAATAGTGATATTCTTGAAAATGTCCAGATATGACAATTCCACTCTTCCCACAGGCCATTTATGACAGCACCCACAAGAAAGGTAAAAAAAGATCACTGCTAAAATGACTCCAAGGATAATTTAAGCAACTTAGGCTTTTACTTAAGGCTGCTGGTAAATTTGGTACACTTTACTTCATCTGTGACATCCTGGGCATCTTTTCAATCATAATCTTCAGTGCCCCAAGCAATAAAGAACATGCAGCTTGAGCTACTATGCTGAGTTTCTGTGGCTCTGTGCCAGCTGAGGATCTGGCCTGTTTGTTTTTATAATGACAGCTCAGACTCTGGACACAACTCTGCAACAGGAGGTTGGGCTTTGAGGGTGCTCTCTCCTGATGTCCTGCTGGCAGCACTCATCTCCTTTCAGCAAATGAACCCTTTGTTCCTGCTGCAGACCTTGGTTCACCTCCTCACAGACATCAGGGCAGAGTCCTGCCTGGAAGCACACTTGAAAAGGGCCCAGAAACACGAGGTTTGCAAAAGTAGGGGTCAGAGTACTCCCTGCAGGTACTGCCCGGGGCTGTCTTCTCCCTCTGACTCACCTGACGGATTTTGCAATACAGTGGAGATAGCAGGGCAGTGCTCCCTGGAATTTGGCTGCTCTGCTCTTTGCCTAGGTATCTGTTTGCTTAAGAGTTCGATTCATCAGCCAATTACCATCCAAATGCTCTGGCACATACTCACCCAGCTGGGCTGGCACCGGATGTTATTGAACACTGACATTGATTTCATACTGAAGGTTGTTTCATTTGGTCTTGTAGGTGCCTTTGACACCAGAGTTCCGGAAGGCAGTTTCACCCTGGCAAGCTGAAAAGCTTGTATGTTGTTACACGTGTGCATGGCACCCAGAACTGGCAATAGGATACATTTCCAATGAAAAGCAGCAAATTAAATTAATGGCTGTGCTTCCTTTCAGTCTTCATTCTGCTGTCATGCCCCTTTTCTTCCCTATCAGCTTTTGTGCCACCAGGCTCTATTCTGACCTCTTCGTTTTTCAAAAACTTTCTTCTCAATTTTTCCTTGCTCACGATCCTCCTCTGTTTGCTCATCCTTTTTACACACCTGCCTTGCACAGCATCTTCAATACTTTCTGTACTGCATCTTTACAGGGGCCTGCAACATGAAATTCAACAACAGAATGCCTCCTTTGTTTCATGGCCTGACATTGACAATATAATTTCACACTTTCCATGAGCTAAACTTTGAATCTCTTTGTGCTTTTTTGTCTTTCTTGGCCCTTGGCACGTTCTCATGCTGTTCAGGCCTTGGAGTCTCTGTCTAACTTGGTTTGGCGCATTTCTGAGCAGGCTTGTGACACTGCTTGCACATGTGTGTACAATTTAGCTGTCAGGAGATGCATGTACAATTTAGTGTCAGGAGAGAGAGTCTTAGACCTCTGTAATTTGGGTCTGCAATTGCATTATTAGACCGTCTTCTGGAATTATCTGTTTCCATGGCGGCTACAAATGCAGGAAGGAGGAGCCACCTCCCACACTACCCAGGAACAAATCCATATCTTCAGGAGGAAAGGACAAGCAACTTTTGCCAAGCTCCACAGGCACTTTCCTCTCCCCACAGGATTAGTCTGGAGCCCTGCCAAGGCAATGGTTAGACACAGGGTTTGGGAAATACGTTGCAGCTCAAAGATGCAGCACCAACTACACACTCAAGACACAGAACATACTGTTCAGGACTTGCAAGCAAAGAAGTCCTTCTGAAAACTCTCAAAATTCCTTCTTACAACTGTATTTTTCTTGTCCATACTTTCTTTTCAGTTTGATATATTTCATACCTAAAAATGGCAACAGAGGAAAAAAAAAAGCAGCCAACAAGGTCAATTAGTCTACCCAAAGTTCTGAATGAAATCTCTATTTGATGTTGTACCTTTTTGTAAACAGGTCCATTTTAGCTCACGGGTTTTACTTGGTTAAGTATTATGGGATTTGGGGAGATTTGAAAATAAGCTTATATAATTGGTTTATCCTATCAGTAATGTTGATAACTGCATACCTTCGTTGGCTGGCAGACTAAACTTTGAGTCGTCATACACTAAATTAAACTAACAATCAACAGAAAACCAGATGGGATTAATCTTTTATTATTGTTATTCAGCATGAATCCTTAAATGTAACAAGAGCTCAAGGTAAAAAGCTCACGCTCTGCTTCGATTAAGACACTCAAATGCCTTCATCTTCACCCTGACACAGGCCAGACAGAACTAAGTGAGGGCAGCTTACAGGCCTCTCAGTGACAGCCTTTATTTAAAATCCTTCTGATGTCTGTTCAGGATTAGGCATCATCCCTATTATTTCAAACAGAAGCTCAGCATTTGTATCATATGAGGTTACACTGCTACAGTCCTGTGAGAAGCATGGGACGGATCAGTCTAATAAGTCTTTGAAGAAGCAAAGAACTCTCTTTGAATGCTGAAATAATGTGATTTTTGATAGCAGATTTTGAGAAAAATTAAAAAGGGCTTCATTCTGCTAAGAACATAAATCAGTGAATTCAAGAGGAAGACTCTTCATAGTGGTAAAGCCAATATGAAAATCAAGCATTTGATGGGTCCACAAATGGTAAGGAATCCAGCCTCTGCTTTTCTGAGACAGGTACCCCTCTAGGCTTCAACAAACAGGCAACATGTCCTATTTTACACAGCCTAACACAAATTTTGAAAACCAATCTGTGAGTAAAAATGAGTCCAGACAGGAAACCTTTATGTGGATAGCACTAGCCAAAATTAGGAAATTACACCCAAGATTCAGCAAAGTGTAGAAAATTTCCAATGCAATTCAAAGTTTTAATGATTGGTTGAATTTGTTTCCCTTCTCTCAATTTCTTCTTCTCTTCTTCCTCTCTCTCTACTCTTCCTCCTTCTTCATTTTGCCTTTTTAATTTATTATTTTATGATTGCACTGTGCCTGCACTGACTTGGTAAACCTACCCATACTATTTAGACGTGCCCAACCTAAATAAAGCAAGAAACTCTTAAATTCCTTAGAGATGTTTCATTTTCAAGCTAAGAGGCAGCAACATTTAATTACTAGCAGGCTAATCCTGCAATCATCACTCACCACAACCACTCAACACATGGAAGGGTGCTAAATTGATTCTAAATAGCAGTGTGTAATGACTGACAAACATAAAAAACAAACAAACAAGAAAGCAAAGCTGTTCAGATAAAGGACACGTTCTGAAATGTGGTGGAAAACATGAATTAAGACTGAAATATCCACAATGGCAGGTCATTTAGATCTAGGTTGATTTCCAGGTATACCAGAATGTTTCTCCCAAATCTCACAGGCTGCTTACCACACCTATTAGTTACCTATGGATTTTTTTGTATGAGATATTCTTCCATGGCTGGGAGGGTAGCTGCAGTAATTCATCAATAAGATCCTTTCCATGAGACCAACCACAGTATGGATTGGCCCTGATGAAGCAGCTCTCCAGCTTCGTCCTAAAGCAAGCAAAAGGAGAGAGAACAGATATAATTTCAGGAGCTATAAATTCACCACTACCTATTTACATTCCATTTGCTACTGTGAAAAATAACTACAAATAATATTATTTGAGATAAGATACTGAAATTATTTGATCATATTACCTTAAGAAAAAAAGCTTTTCAAAGATCAAGTAATTAATAGTTAAATGCAGACACTCCCTACACATTGCATGCATTGCCTCTATTCATTAACTGAGATTCCTTTTGTACCCTGCAAAAAAGGGTGACAGTTTGAGTACATGAGATTAACTACTTAATTTTGCCTGTTTTTTAACACAATATTGCCCTGTGTAATATGCGTTCCATATCCAGGCTTTTATGTCCAAATACAAAATCTGCTAAAATGCATGGTTCAAAAGCCATAGCAACATTGTACCTAAATCAAGAGCATCAAAACATCGTGTGGGGCAGAAAGCCACAGAGGATTATTGTGTGTGATGGGATTTGAAGAATCAAGAAATAATCAGGACAATTACATTTGCATTCCTCTTTGGTATCCATGAGACTTCCCCGTAGAAGAGATAGAGCACACAAGGGAACAAGGGTGACAGCTTCTGCAGTGATGACTTTTCACTGCTTTTTTTTGTTCTAATACTCTAGTTCAGAAAGCACAATGGGCTACTGTGCTTTCCACCAACACATAATTAGCAATATCAGAGATCCCAGCCCTCCTTGTTAATTCAAAGCAGTGTCTGATCTTTTGTAGAGTGTGCCCAGTGTAACACGCAGTGAATTGAATGAGCACCCCACTCTGAGCAGCTATTTTGAAAGGCACCCAGTTCTACAAAACTATGATACATTTTCCCCCAAATCCTGCTTCAACTAGTCATTCAGAGTTGTGCAGAAAAACTATCTGCCCTATTTTAGTGGTTACATTTTATGCTGAAAGTCATAAATCTCAAAGATTACTGAGGAGGATGCAGCCTATCTCAAATGAAGAGGACAAAGGGAGATTGTGCAGTGGCAACACGTACTGTTGCAATGTTCATTGCAGGCACAGGAGCAAGAGAGACCTATCAGCCCCTGGACACTTTTTGTATTCAGGAATACAACACAACTTGCCACAGATCTTTCTTATAAAAGCTGAAGCAATGCACCTTCATTTTCTTTTGGTGGGCAGTCACTGTACATGACAAAAACAGCTTCATGAAACAAGCTGTGGACATGGCATTTAGTCCAGCTGTAGCTTTTTCAGTCCTGATAAATGCACCAAGCTGAGTCACAAATTACTCATTCCTCTCCACAACATTGCTCTGAAGCATTTGGCTGCAGAGAACTGACTGGCCTAGGATAATAAGATAGGAGAGAGTATTCCAAGGAAGTTCCAACTGTACCTTTATTGCCATTTTGCCAAGTTCAAACCCATTCCTCCTGCTCACTGGGTTATATCCTAAAGGACAATCAGGCACGCATAGAGTCAGAGACAGGCCCTGAAAGAAATAACACGGGGCACATGCACTCTGTCTAGTAAGTAACATCTGTTGAATGTTTGAGGCAAAGTTGATGTTAATACCCACACTTGCTTAATAACTGAGAGTGATAACAGGGAATGACAGATAAAAATGCTGCCCTCTGCCCTTCATTGCATCTACACATGTATGAGAATCACTCAGTACTTTAGACTCTTTCCCTTAGCTGAGCCAAAAGCTAGTTTCTATTAATTTTAAACAAAAAAAGTGTTCGAGACAGAGCTGACCTGACAGACTGCAGGAAATTATCCTCTTTTTTTATAATAAGACCCTGTTGGCCTTTCCAAACAAATGGGAGGCTCCATTTGACAACAACATCCTTAAGAATCCATTAACATTTTTTAATTAGTTTATTGTGATAGTTAATTATTAATAGTAGTTAGTTCTTGTAGATAACTTAAAAAAAAGAAGCTATTGATATAAAAATGGAGACTGAACCAACACCATGACCATTTTAAGTTTTCCTGCTCCCTGAAAGAGTAGTAATTGCTGACACAGTCTGCTCATCCCTACTGTGAAAAATGTGTATTTTATGACTGGCTTTTTGCAAATATTAAAATTAATATTATACATGTTGTGTTAGAAAGTTATGCTGTATTAATTTTCTTAAGTAGTGTGTTAAATATAGTTTTAGATTATAACAATGTTAAAATAGAAACTATGCTATAGAAGATACATTTTTAAAAAAGAGGACTTGCACAGAGAGCAGCCACAGGACACCTAAATCTTTCAGAGAAAAAGAATTTATTGCTCCCTTATCAGAAGAAACTAACTTCTTCCCCCCTCACTCAGCCCTGAAGATGCCGTTAGGATTAAGAGGAAGAAGTTGACACTCACCAGACAAAATCCTTTGTTTGAATGGAATTTATGCACCATATATGAGATGTATGAATATGCAACAGGCTATTGCTTTTAAGGGCTAATCCTCCCTTAACATGTGTCCTTTTTCAGGCTTATTTTGCCCAGAAAAAGGTACCCAGACTGTCCATAACTCTTTGTTTTTATTTTGTCGTATTGTCCTAATCCAAATATTGCTATTTTTATAACCATTTTATTACTATTAAACTTTTAAAATTTTAAAAACAAGTGATTGGCGTTTTTCACTCTACTGACATCATCACAACCAGCTCAGATAAAGATGTTCCCTCTCATTAGAGCAGCACTGGTATGGGCACTATAATGCTTACAGAAATGTTAATTTGGCAGCAGTTTGCCTTCTAGAGCGAGCAAAAGTTGTGTATAAAACCCAGGAACTGTAATGCCTTAGTTTCACTTTTGCTTCATGGCTGCAACCTTGCATCTGTGAAGCTGCAGGATCAAAAGGCTCCATCTTGCTGTGATATAGAAGTCTCTGTAGGCAAACTTATGAAATAGGTCTCCCAGGAATAAAATATATTCTGATTAAGAAGGGAAGTGATGTATAGATGGGCTATTAATTTAACTGGATTGGCACAAATGTGCCACTTCAGAGGAATATACTCCTTTTGACCAGAAATTTAAATACCAGGGATTTTAAAGGTGTGTCTGTTCAACTCTGAAAAAAATCCTTAGGTTACATCAAAGGGAAAAATGACCAAACAAAAAGGAGGCATTTAAAGTTGGGCTTTTGAACACGTGTAAATGAGATGTATGAAAGGGAGTAAGGACAAATAAGGAGCATGCAAATTTGTGGGTGTTCAGGATGTTTTGGGAGACTTGGAGATTCCTGGTGGGCTGCAATTACATGCCAGTCCTTCAGTACTACAGATCATCTGCTGAACAGACCTGAACTTGTCTAGGTCCAGTTTGAAATAAATGGTGTTCTGCATGCAAAAAGCCAGTCCTGTATCAGTCAATATCAGCAGCTGGGGAAAAAGGAATGAAAGGGGAACTTGTAGTGGTTTGATTTGTTCTAATACATATTAAAAAAAAAAGCCGTTTCATTTTCTAAAGAATGCTGCTCTACAACTCGATAACAATGGATTGTAAATTACTGGATGTAAAGACAAATTTTTGATATATTTATATTATACTGGCAATTTTTGCTACTTACATGAAACAAACAAAAAAATATCATCCTTTTACTGACTTTTATACAGAATATTATCATATTCTGGCAGAACAAAGTACATCACCCGAGAAACTGTCTCACAGTGAGTGATGTCTTGTATCTCTGCCAATATTAGCTTTATGGACCAAGTAACAATATTATGTTAATAACTGCTGATTGCTATTTGTGTACCAGACTGTTCCAATACCATGGTGATGAGCATGCTGTTGGTGTCTGGAACAGATGGACAGAACACAAGAGATCTTTCCCTTGATTTCAAGACAAATAGGATTACCTGTTTCATTAATAATGCTACATGAAAGCACAGACAAAACCACAGTTCTATCTCCATCTCCAGTAACTGACAGAAGGAAAAAGATACATGGCATACATTGGATGCCCAAAAGATTTACCCTAACTTTAAGGGAGAGCAAACCTTTGAATTACTTGTAAAGCCAACACAGCTGCTTTATGCTGTTTAGAGTGGAAACAAAATTCACCATCTTATTGTCAGCAAAAAAAACTCCTTTGCAGCTCTGCAAAGGTGATACTCGAGGCTGGAGATGAGGCAATTGCCTTCATCCTGCCCAGCACCACTGATTCCATATCTGCTGATTTAAACATCCTTTACAAAGAAGTCATTGCAACTGCTTCCTGCCATTTGAGAAGAAAACTGAAAGCACTGTGAGTGACACTTGGCATCAATGCTTTTATATGACAAAGAAATAGGAAGAAAAGTACCCTTCAATTCCATGAGGCTGTTTCTTAAGCCCTACCATCAGCACCAGATAGACACTTTTTTCTGCGCTCTCTTATTCTTTCATAGAAATGAGGAAGAAAAACCAAGAGACAAAAGTAGGAGGACATCTTTTCACTGTAGGTTGTGCAATTCTGTTTAGAACAAAGCCTCTGATATTGGGGAAAAAACGATCTCACAACAATCTCACACACAGTAGAAGATATGATGCTGTGTACTATTGACAAGCTGGCTTTGAATGACTGAAAAAGCAGTTATGTGGGGAAGAGAACTTGGACAGAGCACTGAGACCATAACAATAACAACTCCTTTCCTATCTCAGTGGAAATCAAAAAGAGGAAACTGGATACTGTTTTCATATAAGAGCTGCCAATTCCCTACTGATATCAGAAGCCAATCATGTTGGAAAGAAAATTACCTATTCCTGCACAGCAAGGCTAGCAGGTGAAGATGGCATGTGAACAAATTCCCAACCACTGATCTGTCAAGGGCACAAAACAAAGTGCAAATGGTTTTATGGGCAATCATTCAGTTCCTCCCAGGTCATCCGCAGATCCTGGAAGCATTTAATTCAACTTGGCGTCCAGAAAGCTTTGAAATAAGGCCACCTACATAGGTGAGGTGTCACAGGAGCTGCCAGAGCGAGCACAACCCGGCTCACGGCTCGTGTCTCGGCACGAAAGGAGGAACAGTCACGAAAAATGCTGAAAGTCTGAGGAAACGAGATTCAGCAGCTTCTGCTGAACGTGTCAAGCAAGGGCAGCGCTGCGGGCGGCTGCTCGCCGTGGCGTGCTGGCCTCCAGGCATCAAAGCCTCACAACTAAAAGGAAAAAACTTTCTGCAGTGCTTTTGCTCTTCATTCCCCTTTCACTGCATCTACATCTGTCCAAGGAATCACCTCACAATTCCACAAACACAAAGAGATTTTGAGTGGGTCCCTGTTCTCTTCTGAAATACAAAACTGGAGAAAATAACAGGAAATAGCAGAGCAAAGACGGTTTCCAAGAAGCACAGAGCCAAATCAGCACTTTGTTCTGAGTGGGTAAATTAAAAATCTCCTCTGCTGTTCTGTGGAGCAGGGTGAAATATAGTAGAAAGACTTACATTGCTGCAGAGCTTTGCATTTGCAAATATTGATTGCATTTTCATTAGGTTCCAGTCACAAAAACAGGCTGGATAAGGTTGTGTTAATTTGAAAGCTAAGCAGTGATAGCTACACATACAAGACTACATCTCTTCCTTCTTCTGAGGGAAGAGTTCCTCTCTCCTGAAACAAATTATCTTCTGAATTACCTATTCATTGCCTACTGACCATCTCGTGAGAGAAGCTGGCTGGCCTTTAGAGGATGGTTCATTTTACTTTCTCTATTACTTCTCTTCAATAAGGAAAGTGATTCTGTGTAATAAGAAAAGCAAAGCTGTGTACAATACCACCTTTATTGTCTCAATAATTCAGTTTGTTCATTTTCATTAGGAAAACCCCAGAGTTTCCATGCTTTGGCACTAAACTTTTAGCCTGGGTTCTGGAAGTTAAACTACATGCTTTTTCTTAACTTCACTATCCCCACAGTTAATTTACATATCCCCATTTAGCAGAGGTACTGCTAAATGACTACCAGAAATTGGTCTGGAGTGATGAGGTCATAACTGAGGCATGAGATTAAAGAGTAAAAAAATCTCTATATTCGAGGCTGTGCCAACTTCAAGGGGGGAAAAAAATGGGGTGACAAGGAAAGAAAAAAGAAATTAAATGAAAGACTGCCCTGTAGCCTTCAGATTTTCTCAGATATTCACCAGTGAAATCAGTTAAATATTCTTGGGCAACAGTTAATTTTTAAGTTGATAATATTCAAAATACTACCCAAGGACCATTGAAAATACCACTGGAAAATGTGACCTGAGGTGCTGTGACTTACATTGAGCATGTTAAGAGGAAGACCACAGCTGCTTTGGGTATGGTCTCTGCTCTCAGGTACCAGTGTCACACTCCACACAGTGTTTGTGGTTAAAACTTGTTTTCCATGATACAGACACTTCCAATGTACAGTGTCAAAGAAAGGCTACCCAGGATAGGATGAACATGGAGTAATACTTCTCATGAGCAGTCTCCCAGTCTCCAAATTCCACAACCATTTTGTTCTTCCTGCAGCCAGGAACATGTACCTATGTCTGCTCCCAAGGCTGCACAAACAAGCCCCTTCCCTTCACAGAATCAAAAGAACCAGTTTATTTGCATAGTGTGATAAGTACAAAGATCACCTCAAACTACTCATTTAGATGCAGGTGATAGTAGTAGATAAATTGTTGATATTGACAGAAAGAAGGCACTTGAGCTTCATGATATCTAAAGGAGGCCTTGTACTGGAAGACAGCTCTTGTTTCCCATCCATACCCAGCACTCATAGATGATACACAAGGCTCAGCTCCAACCTGCTGGTAAACACTGTGTGCAGTGAAACAGCCTAAGGAGCCTGGAAAACCCACCAGTATTGCCTTTCTTGGCCCTGCAGCTGATTCAGATGTTGGCTAAGGTTATGCAAGCACAGATCTGAGTAGCCAAGACACCAAGGAATCCAAGGAATCACCTTGTGCTAGTTGAGAAGACCGGGATTGCTCAGGCAGGAGTCACTCAAACCCCAGTCACACAGGCTGTATCAGAGCATTGTGAAAGTCATTTGGCAGGATTGACACCACCTTGAAATCCTTACAGAGGGGAATACTGATCTCACTGCCTCAGTGATATTCAATATAATAAACTGGGACTGTTGGAAGAAGGGCTCATGCCCTGCAAACTGTTTGCCTATTAAAATTGGAAAAGTAAGGCCAGGAAGGCAGGAATTTAATGCAGAAGTCTGCTATCTCATAGAATAATATAAGAAATAAAATAGAGTAATATAAGAAATAAAAGCAGGGACTAGGAATAACTTCCTCAGATTTAAGAAGTACTTATCCCTGGATAGCAGCTGTGCTGTTAGACAACACATCCTAAGGCGTACTGTACATATAGTTCTTGTAAAAGCTTTATTACTTTCTAGAACCATAAGTTAAAGATTGTTTAATTGAAATATTATTCTGTTACAAGCTCTACTGAAGGGTACATTTTACTGAGAATTTCAGTGAGGCAAAGGAGGTTTTTTATCACACCTATGCATACAGATTCTTCCATCCTAGTTATGTCAACAGATATTTTCTATTTGGAGGAAAAACATTTGCACTTGGCTAAGCACCTAGATAAAGCCCTTTTGTTTTCTGCAATCAAGATGTATCTTTTTTTACAGGCAATGACATAATCTACATGAAACCCACCTTTCTTTCTTACCAAGGTTGATACATGCTGTACATTCCCTGTGCAGAATAAAAAGGTGCATATTCTCTGTGTAGAATAAATTTTTAGCTGGTGCTAGTAAACATGAGGTAGATTATTCAAGCCCATGCCTGGAGCTAAATGAAATTTTCAGAGACAGGACATGCGCACAGCTGTTTATTCTGAACAGCTCTTCTGATAGGTTCCTCTTTCATTTTCCATTTAAGCCTTTGTGTTGTTTCCCTGGGACAAAAGTAAAGCTTGCCACTACCAGATATTTCAGCTACATGTTCTCAAATAGTCAAAGGAAGACTATTATTCAAGTCAACCAAAGCACTAGCAAAACAATGGAGTTCTTACCTACTGAGATGAAGATCAAAGATGAAGATGCTGATAAGAACTACAGAAAATTGTCCTGGTTCACAAAATGTGCCTATTAAACTTGACCTACATGTTCAGGTAGATTGCTTTGTGCACCTGCTACTGGATTTTGTTTTCTCATTCATCCCCACTACACAAATATATGTAATTTTGGAATGACTAGCAGGTTAAGCAAAATTAATCTTATCAGTAATATTGATGTAAGAAACAGTTTAAAAATGCAATCTACATAGAGATATAGACCAACTCCTAGCATATTTTCACCTAATGAACAACCAACTTCCAACTAAATGCCAACAAAGCTCCCTGACAAGAGTACAATATTGTAAACCTGTCCCTCAGTTCTCTATAAAACAGGTCTGCAAGATGAAAGCAGGTTTTAACTTTAGAGATCTGCTTCCATGTGCCCTTTCTATGTCCCAGTGAGGTAACTTTGCCAGTGCTGGAAATCACTAAATATAAAGGAAGTGCCTTCTCTAACTGTTCTGATTCCCTAAGGAAAAAAAAGGCTTTGTCATCATATTTTGTGTGTGAGTGCCTATTCTGCTGTCTTCACTTCCTCTTAGAGTAACTTTTCAATCCAGTGATTTTTAACTAAATTTGACAATTAATCACAGGTTTCAAGACACAAAATCATCCCAAGTTTAGTGAAAGTAGGCAGCTAGCTGGGGAAAAGAAGAGATCCGGACGGGGTCTCCAGCCATGGAAAAGAGTGCAGCAAAAGCCTCATTCTTACCAGGCATCAGACAACCCATCTAAGACAAAGACCATACAGGCCAGGGGCAGAACTTGCATGAAGCACAAATCCATTGGAAACCAGGCTTCAATGATTCCATTACTCATGGACTTCTTGCTCATTTCTCTTAGACTTTTCTACCACACACAGGGCTAAGGTTCCCTAAATATCTGTTCATGCCATGCACAGTCTGAGAGCATAGCTCTCAGAATAGATCTCCTTAGTGCCTCAAACCACTAAATGGTTCTTCAAATACCTTTTCCACATATCTACAGCTTTTCTCAGCATAAGAAGCCATTTTCTTCATGTTCACAGTTTAAAATGTGACTCTGCTCTGGAACTGGTTTGTAAAAGCATTATGAGTCAGGGTTTTTCTTTCTGTTTGTTGAGCTCAGATATTCAAATCCCCAAATGGTAGTCACACACCTTTTGTGCAGGCAGAAGTCCTGCCCATGATGCCATATGCTTGTGAATTACCAAAAGGGCTTCGGGCTATGTAGAGGTGGTTTCTTCTACATCTAGAAGTGCCAGTGGGTGGGATTAATCACCTCAGAAGTTCCTGACCACTCTTCAGGGTGCTAACTAAACAGCTCATGGCAGTACTGCTTACTCAGGTGAGGCAGAGTCAGCTGCCATACCTCAGACCAGGATTTTAAACTGCTTAAAATGATACACCTCTGTGCTTAGTGTGAATTAGGGAAAACCCATAACAACTTCTCCATGACAGGTCAGTTTGTAGCAGCTAGAAGCACCCATGTGGCTGTGAAGGGAAAACCTCTTTCCTCTGCACAGCTGTATCTGGAACAAAACATCTGTCCATGTCCTAACCCAGCCAAAGCTGCAAGAAAGCAACAAGCAGAAAGAGAGCCCTTAAGACTCCAAAACTACCTATTCAAAAAAAAGAAAACCATATTTCTCCACCAACACAGACATTATAAGATCCAACTTTATTGCACTTCTTCATAGAACAAAATGCTTTTTGGCTCATTTTCCAATCCCATAAATGCTGTGGAGTGAAAATTAAATTAATGCACAGAACAACTGTTATGACTCAGCCTTCAACCTAAAAGTAGTGCTCAGTACTGATCATCTGTATCAAGCAAGTTTAGCCAGCCAAGGCTGCAGCTACTGTTATTCCAAGAAAGCAACAATCAGAAAGAGAGCCCTTAAGACTCCAAAACTACCTACTCAAAAAAAGAAAACCATATTTCTCCAGCAACACAGACATTATAAGATCCAAGTTTATTGCACTTCTTCATAGAACAAAATGCTTTTTGGCTCATTTTCCAATCCCATAAATGCTGTGGAGTGAAAATTAAATTAATGCACAGAACAACTGTTATGACTCAGCCTTCAACCTAAAAGTAGTGCTCAGTACTGATCATCTGTATCAAGCAAGTTTTGCACATTCTTTCAGTTTCAGTGGCCAAAAACACACACAAAAAGGGAGGTGCTCATCTTGACTCCAAATAAATCTCAAATTTTTTGGTATTTTGATATTCAAAACTTGGCATGTATCTCCTAAATTAATAAGTACCTTAATACTAGAAGGCAGTAGTAGGCTCTCTTTCCTCCCCCACCCATCCACTTCCACAAATTGCTAGGAAGCTGGAAGACTGGAGTCCCCTGTTCCTCTTCCACATGAAGTGAAATGGCCAGTGGGGTTCCACATTATTAGTGTTGCATGTTGAGTGTTGGAATGATAACACAAGCCTTATTTCTTTAGGGAATCCGGCTCAAAGAATCATCCCCCACCCACTTCTTGCACTAAAAAGACAGCTATTAACTCCCTGATCTGCCTGCCTCTGACAGACAAAGGAAGTGAAGAAAAATAAAACAAGTGAACTGAGGAATAAATTACTTTTAGTAGTCAGATGGAGGAGAAGCCTCTGAGGAAATGTAATCACCACACCCTGCCAGTTATTAAAGGATTGTGTGGAAGCCATGGCTGGGTGACTGCTTATGCAAACTTAAGGAAATATTTGCTTAATAAAAAGATCAAACAGAAGGTTCCTTGACAATGTCTACTGTGCCTAACAGGACTGGACTGTTACAGAAAACGTGGCCTCTCATTGAGATCCATCCAGCAATGGTGTCTGTGTGCAGCAGACAGATCTGTACATGCACAGGTTAACTGCAGGATTCAAGCCACAGGGGAAAAAAGAGAAAAATTCTATCTTTGTCTACAGACTGTGACAAAAAAGCAAGCTCAGAAAATTAGTTCTGTTATGGATCAATACTTACATGCATGCGTACTTTTCAGGCAGAGCAGAGTTGCAACCTGTTCTATTTGAAGGATTTGTTGCTTAGCAAACTTTCAAATGAAGACTTTTCACATGCATCTGAAGGAAAAAATTGCAACTTGAAATTTGGCCAAAAAAAATATATATATTTTAAAATGTGGAGCTGTAGGGAAAAATCAATCAATACATACACAAAATTTACAAGTATAATTCCTACTATGAATATCCAGCAGAAATTAACAACACTGCAGAACTCTCTTGGTTACATTTTTTACCAGTGAATGGTACTGTTCACATTCTTCAAAAAGATTAGAAATGGGAGGCTGCATGGAGCTACTCTGATTCATTTAATCTTTTTTTGTCTTTTTCCAACTAAGCATTTTCACAGGGGAAAAACAATGATGTCATCAAGTTCCTCTCTCTGCTGAGACTGTGTAGTTGCAAGGTTTTCTGCTGATTTATGGATTAGAAAATTTCAGTGATATTGTTAATAAAAGTTATCTTGGCATTACTGCGTGGTAGTTCATAAAGGAGATAGAAGAACTTCATGACCTGCTTGTACACCACAGTTAGGGGATGAAGAATCACCCAACATTCCAGGGTACCAAAAAGGAGACCAGAAATAGGCACAACTTTCATTTGAATCAATCAACTCCATATTTTATTAGTTATTCTTATCTGCAACATGATTTTCCTAGTTAGAAGAAACAGACCCAGAGGAGAAGGACCCAGATTCAATTCTGCCTCTGCAGTGTGCTGCGGTCTTTCCTGCTACAACTAATCATCCAAATGTTAAAAAAATCTAGGAAAACTCACAGCTTCACATTAGAAGTATTAAATTAATTAGCCAAATTTTTAACTACCAGGCAAAATGACAAACCTAGTTGTTGCCATCTTCACTATCCAGGCTGCTTGCTGTAGTGATGTCTAAGAAAAAGGGCTGAGAGGCTGAGCTATTTGTGCCCAGCTCTGACTCCATTTGGATCCGAGCTTAACTAAGCAGAGACAGCAGTGAGTTACTACTCAAGGCTGCCACCTCCTGTTTTAAATCTCCACTTCCTCACGGGCTGATTAATAATCTGATCAGGCTGTTCCTCCCAACACTGGCTTTGATTGTACAGCTGATTCTGCATAGAAAGGATGTTTCCTCAGAAATAATTAGAAGCAAATATTTACATAAGTTACAGGAACTAGAGCAACCATGCAGTATGTCATATACATCTTAGAGCAGCTATTGATTTTCAAAGCTATGAACCCTAATGAAAATAATAAAAAAAGATGATTTCCTTCTCAAGTAGCACTGCGGTGTGTGTCACTGTTCAGCATCTCAGCAGACAGGCCTATCCATCTTATTATGCACATTAATCAATTGCCAGATAAAAATGCATTACTGACATCTAAAATGTGCTACTGCATTTATAAAGTGTTGATTAAAGAGAGAAAGATTAAAGAGAGAAAGGCTGCATTTCCCCCCCATGTATTATTACTAATTTAAAGTACAAGTGGCATCAAAACTGCCAAAGTTGAGAAATTAGAGGCCAGTCTTATACTTTGCACACTCCAGATATCTGACAGTTCTTTGCTTCTAATCAATTAGGTAACAACCTCACAGTCTTTTATTTGCATCTGAGACTTTCTCTTCATGAGCCTGGCTACTGGAAGCTAAGTAAATGCATATTCCTTTCTTACTATCTAGCCTGAGGCATCAATATCTCCCTAATCAAGAAGCATAAAGAAATCTCATTCGCAAGTTTTAAGTACATACAATGTTCACCTGCAAAATAAAAAAAAAAAAACAAATCAAACTCCCCAAAATTCTGCATTTCCTTTCTTTCTTGTTTGTCTTATTTAATTTGAAATTCAGGGCAAATAATCTCTACAAAGTTTGTGATATTGAGTGTGACAAGAGAAGACAGGTTCTCCTTATCTAAAGCTAGTGGTGCATCCACATATTTGAACTGTTTCCCCATTTTCATTCTCAATCTTAGTAAGTTTTTGGACTTGGCCAGAATCAAAAGGCTTTAAAAATACCAAGTCTTTTGAAAAAAACTGAAAGGTGCAACTCAAACTCCCAGCAATAACAGATACTGAGGATTTGTATGCATTCTGGAAAAGCTACTTAATGAAAGACACTGCAGTTCATTCCGAAATGTCTCTCTCATTTAATCAAACCCTTAACACTCAGAGAGTTGGGGCATCCACAGCTTCTCTGGGCAGCCTGTGCCAGTGTCTCAGCATCTCTGTCATAAAAAATGTCTCTTAAGCCCAATCTAACCTGCCCTCTCTATCCAAAACTATTTACCTTTGTCGTGTCACTGCAGCCCTTGGGAAAATGTCTTCTGCCACTTCTCTTATAAAGCCCCCTTTTAGTATTGAAAAGCCAAAATAAAGTCTCCCAGAACCTGCTCTTCTCCAGGCTGAACAACTGCACCTAACCCAGCCTGCCTTCACAGGAAAAATGGAAAACCTCACTGCATTCTGTCTTCTAATATGTACAGTATTTTACAGCAACCACAGATACTCTCACGTAGAAGTATTTGGTAAGAACTGACTTTAGAAGTGCAGAAAACAGATAAAGAATGGTAAAAAAAAATCCATTAATCAATTAATTAAAAGTAATATTTACCTGCATGGGGCTTAACTTCACCACACTGAAGAACAAATTTATTTGAAACCACTTTCTTTGAAAATTTGAGATGCAAATTGACTTCAGCTACCAGAATTCAGCAAATTACATCAAAACACTATTTTGCACGTGCTGCGGATGAGTTTTGAAAACTGCATTTATTCTTTTAACAAGTCAGTATTTGAGCTCACTGAGTATTAAAAAGTCAGTGTTGTGGTTGATGCACAGGATTAGTGTCAGATGATTTGGATTCTAGTCTTAACTCAGACTTCCCCTATGAGATCATCACTTACAATTATCTTTTCAGAATTGGCATCTAATTTTGGATAACCCAGCTCTGCCTGCCAGACTTTAATATCTGGAACCCAATTTTCAGAAAATGGTTTCATTTGCTTCAGTTGGTATAAAAAGAACTTGAAATCTCTGGAAATCAGGTTTCTGAAACTCTGAAATTCCATTGGGTGCCATTTATATCTCTGGAAAGTGGCCTCAAAATGTTACCAGTGACGTAAGTGAAGAATTCAGATTTATTAATACCTTGCATCTGCTGCACATGTAAACAACTACAAAATATTTAGGGCAATGGAGAACTGGGTCCAGAGAGAGCATCCAGGGGTTTCCCATGAGTCCAGCGTCCAACACATCTTATCTGCACATTTTACTGCTTCATCCTAAGGCCTCAGAAATTGAACTGTTTCAAATAAGAAACAAAGCTATGAAGGCAGATTTTCTTTACCATAAAACTACATTTTAGTGAAATCAGCACAAGTATATGCCCTGCATGGACCTGGGCTTTTGTGGCAAAGCATCATCACATCTACAGTGGTCAAAATTCATGATGATTTGCAGTGCCTGAAGTCTATAAGATAACTTTGTTTGAAGTTGAGTTTTAAAAGTTTTGAATGGCAGATGGGACATATGCTATAGATACTACATAAAATGGAATTTTTGTTGAATTTAAAACACAAAGTGACCTTTACAATGTGTTCTTATGTTTATCTGGAAATGAGCCAACAATAATAAAGTTCATTTTCTGTACCCCTGTGATGCTAAAAAAGAAAAACATTTTCTCCACCCTGTGAAGAAATGTTTGTGAAAAATACCCAACAATAAAAACCTCTTCTCATAGTATTTTAATTACAGCCAAATATCTCACTCAAGAATCCTCATGTAACCTACATTGGATCATCCCATCTGTGTGAAGATGTTTTGCCATTATGCCAGTACTTCTGGCTCAGATGACTCAGACTGGGTGGTGCTTACAGGGAGGAGAATCCAGACCCTACTGTCCTTCACAGAAATCCAGGCCTGCTCAGCATTCCTGGGCTGGTGCAGTTTGACAACCAAGTTGTCTTTTCTTAGCAGGAAAATTATCCTACTTTGGCCCCCGTGGCCACACTGCCTGGGGCACCTGAGTGTGGTTGGCTTTGATAACCAGGAAAGTGAGATATTCAGGATCTGGGGAAGGTCAGAGTCCCTTCATGCTGATGAGGTAGTCACACAAGGTGTGTCTGCTGAGGGCTTATCTGCCCTTTAAACCATGATCTATTCAGAAGGATCCAGACCGTTTTAACTTATTACAGCCACAGTTTGATAAATGCAGAAAACTATCAGTGTTTAGTCAAGGGACACTTTCTGTGAATATTTCTAGTCTTCTATTTTTGGTAAAGTACTGAAATAAATCCAAGACAAAGGTAAAATGCTTCATTAAGAAACCAAACAGATTATCAAAGAGAAAAGATTAATGCCAGTTTTCAGGTAGAATGTCCTTCTCCTGCCCTGCCAATACAACACTGGAACCAGCCTCATCAGTGTAGGAATGAACTGGCCTCAGTTTCTCCAGGCAGCCAGAGTTTGCAGGTCCAAATTCCATACACCTACACTGGGAGAGAGGGCTCTGTGGGGCGTGGAGGTGGGACTAAGGAACACACTGTTTGCTTTGCTACAAGAAAGATATCACTAGACCCTCCTTTCTCTTCTATACTGAGCAGAGCTATAGGACAGCTGTTGCTATTAACTCATTTTCCCTTTTAATTCTGAGTATTTCCTGCCTCTCTTTGTATGCCTGCACTATTAGGGTAAGCACAGAGCATTTAATTGGCAAGGTCATAAATGTCTATCAAACTCATTATAAGAGAGAGGTAATACTTTGATAAGCTTCTGCTTAGTCATCATACTTTTATTACCTTCTATCACCACGTCTTGCTCACTCACAGAAGTCACAGCTTAGGACTCTTAGGAAACTGTGGTTAGTTCTCTCCATGGCTTTTCTTCTTACAGACATTGCTTTTTAAAAAATCTTTAAAACAAGAAGTAATATCTCCGCACAGCTAAATCAGTAAAATAAGTTTTAAAAGAGATGTCTGTTCAAATCACATTTAATTTCCTCTCCTTGCACTGTACATGACATTTCATAAAATACAAAAATCTTTCATGGCTATCCAGCAGCTAACAGCAACAACAGTTGGTAGTAAGAACCATGGTGAATTTATTGACTGTACTGTGCAGGATGCAAGTTCAGGTACTTCTGGTACAGAACCTGTGTCCCTTTGATATTAAATCTTTATGCTGGGCTACATTTGCCAAACTTCAGTATCACTGTTTCCTGAGAGGCTTTGATTACACCGTAAATTCTGATGGTAATTATCAAACTAACCATTTGTCATACAGATTTTTCTTTAACTGATAGCCTAAATCCCTGGCAGGAAAAGGCTCATCTGATAAAAGCTACAAAACATTACTAAGAAGGAGTTGCATGTTATATGTAATCTATTTAAAGATCTACCTAGTGTCTAACCTCAGAAAAGTTAGTGAAGAAAGTTTGCTCCTTTTTTACTTCATTGCTGTCATGTTAAAACATATTTTGCCTTGGAGCAGAGTAAATGTTGCCACCACCGTGCATGAGGAAGCACAGCTGAGGCATTCTGTCTGACATAATTTGAAAACAAAATGAAACATTTCTCACTCAGAGATTGTAGATGCTTTCTGCATGAGCATTAGCATGAGGTGCCATGGTACCATATCCAGCTTTGTGGGACTGAGGGACAGGCTGGTTAAGTGCTGTGTCCAGAATTACCCAGCAAGTCCAACAGCAGAGTAGGAAACGGGGTGCAGTTCCCCTAGAGAGCCCTCTCTGCTGGGTTCAACGAGCTGAGGGATTTAAAACATACAGATTAATTCATTTTTCTGGACAAAGAGCAAGCTTTTAAGGCAATTGCTTTACACATCTGGCTTCAACCAGCAGTGTAAACCGTGCCATGCTCTGAAAAGCAGATTAAAAGAAGATCATTAATCATATGTATATTAGAAAGCAAACCGTACCCAGGTAAAGCTGTGCAGAGCCACCAGGATGTCCTTCCATCACAGCTGCATGCCACTGGATCAGTCCATGTTTGTTTCCATAGCCTCTTCATCCTACTAGGTATGACAGCCCTGTTGTTTCCCCAAGCTCAATATCTGGATGTGATTAAAGTTTTAAAAAGTCAAATATTATGGCCTATATTTTGGTGTTTATAATATTTCTCATTGCGCTCACTACTCTATAAAATTAAAGGTAGAAAAAAATGACAACCATAAACATACATCTATCCATATGTGATAGGAGAAATGGGTTTAAAATCTTCACAAAAGACTTGATGTGAAAGGACCTGCCAGGTTCTGGAAGAATGGGTGTGGGGGTGTTTACCAACATCAAGCCATGCGAGTTTGTGGCAGCGAGAAGCACAGCCTGAACTTCTGAACTTTGGGGAAAAATGCACAGACCTAACAGACTTATGAGTATTAACTTCTCAATCCAGGGTGGGCTAATGGTTAATTTTAATGGTCATGCAGTGCACAATGAGGGAGGGATAGATGTTCAAGGGGGAATATGTAGGAGATGGTTTGGGAAGGCAGTACCTGGAGAAAGGAGGAGGGCAACATGCGTCCTCCAAAAAGCGGAGAGAAACCCCACAGGGGTATGGCCCACTGGGCTCTCTCCCTTTATTAAAATACAATTGATTTTTGCAGGATTCCTCTGTCTCCTTTGCAGACACTGGCCTTTCACAGCGTGATTTTCCACACAATATGTAACACCCTTAACTGTACAACCCCCCTCGTGGCTATATTGTGTGATACCCAATTGCAACAGGCAGCTGTTCATAGCTGTGACCAACACACCTCATGGCACGGAGGGAAAACCTGGGCTTTGTTCCTGACTTCTCGTGGAAGTCAGTGGAATTTGGGGCAACACAATAAACAAATATTGGGCTGCCAGAGACAATGCAGGAGGTCATACTTACCCTTTACAAATATTGGGCTGCCAGAGACAATGCAGGAGGTCATACTTACCCTTTGCAAATATTGGGCTGCCAGAGAGGAGCCAGGAGATCACACTCATCTTTTCCTTTTTCAGAACCCACACAAACGCAAGGCAGACCTGGGCAAGGCCTCCTGGGAGGAACAGAAGTTCCTCCGGGATGCCGAGCTATGGAATAACACAACATCCACGGCAAACAGAAGCTTTTGAGAGCTGCCTGATTTCGCCAGTGCGAGGAGAGAGAGCAGAGAGACCCCCGCGGGAGGCGAGGGCGTGAGGGGGGGAGGCGAGCGGCCCCTCAGGTGACCCGTCCCCGCCTCGGCATCGCTACGAGACGAACACAGAGAGCGGGCCTGGCAAGCTGGGGAGCCTCGGGGAGCCTCGGGGGCTCGGTTCCGGGGCCGCTTTGCCGCCCGTGTCCCCCCGCTGCTGCTGCCGCCGCCGCCGCCATGGCAACGGGGGCGGGCCCGGCGGCGGGCGGGGCGCGCTGACGGCTTCCGGCGTG